GGATTCTTTTGCTTCTCCAATGCCGGGTCAACAGTGCGTCCCGCAGGAGCTTTTGGTACGAATATTACCGACCCCTTTAATGACATTGCCGTTGCTATTTTTTTTTTATCTCACTCGTCCGTAAATGCATCCCCCCACTTACATCTGACAACAATGAATTGCGAGGGTTGCCATCTCGGTTTTCCTTATTATAACGCCCGTTCGCCCATTTTTTCGGAAGGCCAATTAAAAGTTTTGGGGAACAATGGGGGGTCATTTTGGAGAGATCAGTGTCACGGTTTAGTTATTGTATTCGGATCACAATTATTTCGATTTCACGAGATGAGGCGAAATGCGGCCGGAAAAATTTTTCATTCGCTTGTTTTATTTATTTCTATTTTCAATTATTTATAATCATATTAAAAACAATACATAAATAAAATGGAAAAAAAAAATCTCGAGTTTGCACTAATGCCAATGGCCAAAATTTATCACGAGTGTACGATAAGTATTTTCAGAGTCCAAGAATTGAATATCCGAGGCGGAATGCATTTCCGCAATGGCCTTCCAACGAGAACAATAGCTTAAAAGTTCTCTTTCAATATTTATTCGGGCCCAGGATGAGCTTATACCCGTGAGCGAGAGCCGTGAAAACGATTCCCTCCATCCACCCACCAACTTCCCTTCTATCACCCACTCTATACCCCATTGCGAACGTCTTTCCTACGTAGTTATAACCCCCAAGTGCAGATTTGTATTCGCATTATAGTCGTGGAGAAAGAGAAAGCAAGGAAAACTCCACTTGGATATCAAAGGACGACTGGAGACCGGGGCAATCACCTAGGGCTCCAACATCTCACCCAGCATCCCTTCCATTCGAGTCACGTGAACATCTTCCAGGGAATGAGTAATTTATCAGCCATTTCAATGAAATCCTCCTGTCATGAAAGTTGATTAGATTGGACCTCTTGAGTCTTCGAATGCTCCATTTTTTTCTCATTAATCGTAAATTGAAATAACACATTGTTAATGTATTTAATTTATTCATTTATTTATATTAAAACTAACAAATGCAACAGACCTCCACTCAGAATTAATTAACTTTAACTTCCCCTCGTAAATTAATTAAATCTCGTTTTCACTCAATATTTTAAAAAATTCTCATTCTCATAAAAAAAAATTCGCAAACAAGTATTTTTGAAATAAAAAACTCATTACCATCGACAAGTGGTGATAATACCAGAAATCCTCTAATAGATTAATTAATCATCGAGTAATCTGTCGAAACAGAGAATCAGCTCCGTTTGATCTCCTCGTCTGTCGAGCCACAGCTTCAACAGTATTTCACCAATTGTACCTCAATATCACGTAATTCTGGCAAAGTTATGCACCGACACTTGGCCAACATTGTCGTATTAAATTTTACGCACTTGAAGCGAAATGCCCATAACAATATGATACGCTTGTGAGCACCAGCTCGACCATCAATAATGAACGATGAAATTATTGAGATTGATTGAATGTTTCAACTCATGGTTCACATTATCGGAATTCAATTCTCAATACATGTATTTTTACCAAAATCCCCCAACATTGATAGATTAATTTTTTAATTCGCGAATCAGTCGATTTGAAAAATGGAATTTTCTTGAAGTGATCAGATTTCGATTTAATGAAATTCAACTCATACCAAGTGGCCACACCTGATTGAATCAAGTGATTCGTTTTTTTTTTTGATATGAGACTGCCATCGAATAACGCATTGTAAAGCCCCGGGCCCCGGGTACTATGTCATAGGATATGTCGTAACGTTCATGTTCACTCGGAAGCTTGTTGCGACGAGCAACTTTGGGGCTTGTGCACATTCCTAAATCAGTCGGGGCCATGGCCCTGTGGCCGACGTTGACGCTTGGTTCGTGTTGCCAAGGCTTGTTATACTATCCCTGAGTGTGCATGTATACAAAACCAACGTTCATTCGAGTGAGGCAGACGCACTCCAATGTTCAGCCCCACCAACTTGTCCCTCTCTCTCTCACTTTACTCTGTACTGCACAGTAGTTTGTACACGACCTGGGACGAATCGATATTTTCCCCGTACGTGTCTCTGGACGGTAATAACTGACCTCAACGCTTGTATACGTTTGATACCATGTACACTGACAAGGTATAACATTATGGAAGAATTGCCTGTGTTTCAGCCACTCTGCGCTCATCATGCGTCATCACAAATGCTCAGATAATTATCCCGCGATCAACTCGGCTTTTCCCTCCACCCATCGTATTTTCATAAATCCAATCATCACCCGGAGTAAAAAATGTCCATCTCTCAAGAAGGAAATATATTTCTCCGGATCAGTCACTCCCAGGTAAAAATTGGAAAATGTCATGTGAATACATATTCTTTCGCGTACAATGTCAGGATTCAAATGTCATGATAAATAAAAATTTTCCCACAAGCCGATGCTTGAGATGATTTTTTTTTTCTGGTACGTGACGCGAACCCAGTTACTGATAATCATCCTTTTGTCCATTGACCGTCGAATTTGCAGTTGAAATGCATTTAGCGCAGTTTGCGCTGTTAACGTACTCGAAATTTCGATGGTAATTCGGTATACGTTGGCTGGAATTGAATTCGTGAAATAATCCACCTGTAATTATGGCTAGTAGACCACGGAGTTGGGACACTTGGTTGAATGGGTCCACCAGTACAGACAACTTTGAAGGAAAGAAATTGAGTGAAAGCCCTCAACGTTTATTCCTCCAACACGTTCCTCCGGTGTGCGAATGAAAAAAAGCTCGTTGGGTTGTCAGATAATGTGTAAACCTTCGGGTACACTTGAGGAAAATTGCGGTGTCAAGCCATTAACTTCAAGAGGTCTTTTCGCGAAACAAATAAACAGAGACAAGTGAAATTGTTCGCAGCCATCCCGTCTGACTATTGCGCAATCCAATAAAGAATAATTTTTAACGAATTCATTCTATCCCATTCTGCTGCTTCTATTTATTTATCACTGAGTGGAAGTCTAGGTGAATGATCTGCACGAGAATTTGGTTGACGCTTTTCTTTAATCACTTGGAGTCACATTTTGATGTCGTCGGATCGATCGAAGTGACTGGCCTGAGTTTCTTGATCCTCTCTCTACTAGACTGGCTATCGTCCAAGTTGGCTGATTGGAGGGCTATATTCCAGCGTGCACATCTTCCTCGACACATCTTGGACATCGTGAACGATCGGTACCACAGCTCGGCCAAAGCTGATGTCAGCACGATAGCCATCATCGTTTGCCACGTTGTTAACGATTTTCTCGACTTCTGCTTCCAACAAATAGCCTCTAACTCTCGGCCATCACATTTCAACCGTAATCATTACCGGTTATTGATGATTCCTCTCGGTTAATTTATCGATTTATTTATTTCACTCGATGTAGAGAAAAAAAAAAATCCCAAATACATCATTCCTCACTCAACCATAAAATCCACTAGAACCCGTGAATTATTTCCCTGAAAATCTAATAAAATTCTAAATATTAATTATCACCGTGGTTTCTATTTTATAATCCTCTTTTTTAATTCTCCAATTATAGAAGGCATTATTTTTTATTATCACTGCGGCATTCGAATCAGATTTTGAATGGTAGAACAAACAGGGTAAAACTGCAAGGGCAGTATGAATACCACTCGTATTGCCTTTGTAACAGCATGAACCTCATAAAGCCCACCACAGTACCCAGCTGAAAGCCAATTATATAAATACAATCCCATACTTGAGTTCACAACCGAGAATTTATAACTTGCCTGAAAACACTCGCAGTTATCCCACTCCAAGTATTAATTCCTCAACAATGAAATTATACTTTACCCAGCAGATTCTTACTCCCATTAACTCGTCGATTGTTCTCATCTCCATTTGCATTGGATATATCACCAGTGACCAGTCGATGTTTTACCAATTGAACGCCTCTATTCTCCCTCAATCCACGAAAAGTTTGCGACGAGCGTAAGGATGAGCGAAATTGGATATAATTGGGTGGCCATCTCCGTCCACCGATGGAATAGCAATTCTCCTTCCTTGGCAATAGGTCACGCTTCGGCACTGGCAACTCTATCGATTTTACTGGCTCTCAAATTATGAGAATGCTCCATGAATAAAATACCCAGTGCAATAAATCCATCAGTGAGATATACATTGGGAAAAAAAAATTTTTTTTCTCACCCCAGCCTCTAGGGTTGATCTGCAATTTTTAGGGGATGAAAGTACCTTTTGTTTCTCAAACTCAGTGTTTTAATTGAAAAAAATTTTAACAGCATTCTGAAAAAAAATTATACAGCGTAATGAACTGCAGAACACCAGTCAATCATCATTAACCCTGCGAATTGGAAAGGCACTGATCCGATTGTTGTACTCCAATATTTGAACGGAGAACTGAAGCGTTCATTTTTTCAAGAGTGTTATTGTTATCAATTTATAAATAAATATCACGGGGCAATGGAACAGTAAATGCAAATGAAACATTTGATTTCCCAGCATTTCCAGTTCGGCTGATGAACACACATTTGAGAGGGAAATTTAATGTAGAAACGATGGAAAATTCGACTGCGAAAGCGATATCCCCCAGGATTTTGTATTATCAATTAGCAGGAACACCGAATACATGAAACATGAAGAAAAAATTTGGTAGAGTATTTCGAAATTGAGAGATTAAACTGATTCATTGAATTTCAAACGAGAGGAGTTGATTTTGGAAAATTGCCCGAGAATTACCCTAAAATCATGGAAATCCCCGTACATGCAACGTCGAATTATCATATCATAGCACTTAAAACATGGAACAAAGCCATCTGCCCATCATTGCTTGAACTAAGTTATTAATCGTCTTACGAAACGACCGCTGGTAAAGTATAATCCAGCTTTGCACTCCCCTAGTATGTGTTTCAAATGAAAAACTCGCTGAAAACATGTACTCCATTTTATATATTTATGAAAAATCATTAATGGTTCAATAACATTTAACAAATATGAATAATCGCATGCGTAAGGCACTTGTTTCAATACTCTATTCCACCTGTAACACATTCCCTCTACAAAAATACAGTAACAATGATATATTTCCATTAAAATATTCCATTAGCCAAATTTTTGCCGAGAATTAAATGCCAAATGAACTCTCGTCATCTGAGACGATATTTCTGGGAAGACGCAAGAGTTTTTCTCAATCTACATTATTAATTATCAGTCATTGGGAAAAGCCATCGAAAATCAGTAGATAATTGGTGAAATTAAATGAGTTTTCATTTTTCGAATAAAGTTAAAGTTAAATTTCGAGGAAAAAATATGAATCGATGATTTTGATACATTCAATGGGAGTCGAAATCTCATTTCAATTTATCCATTGGCTACTAAATTTTCATTAAAAATAACTGCAAGTCGTTTTGATCACGATTCCAATTTTCATCATAAGTCCTCGGTAATCTGTTGGATTAAATCCAGAGTTAGGAGTGATGAATCATAAATTAGGAGAAATATTATTGATTGAAGTTAGGGCAATGTTAGCTCGGAAGATCAATTGATCTATTGTTTCGAGGGAGAGGACAGACGTCTGTTGGATTGATATGGATTTTGCAGGAGTCGTGGGGAACACTCGATCACCCGTAACAGAAGGCCATCGATATAATCCTCGAGATCTGCAAGACGTTTCCTTTTATCAATAACTTCGCTCTGAAGTTTCAACGTCAACTCAATCAAATCCTAAAAATAAAAATCGTCAATCAATCAATGAATTTTTTTATTTGATGGATTCAATCGATAATTTGATTGGTTTTAATGAAAAAATAGTTACCTCTCTGGTCTTCCCCTCAAACTGCTGGAGGACCTCGAGGGGAAGGCGACTTTTTCCTCCCATATTATTCTTCACACCGTCCTCCCCACCAATAATTATCCTCTCAGAGGACAATTGTTCCTCACAAAAATCCTTTCCTTTATTCTCCTTATCCCTCTTCTTATCTTTCTTCGAGGATTTATCCTCCTTGAGACTTCTCACGTATTTATCCTCCTTGCAGTTTGGACTTTTATCTCTCATAAAATGTTTTTCATCCTTTGAATTTCTCTCTTTAAGTTTATCATCCTTTGGCCGCTTTGAAGTTATTATCTCGCGTGGTGCAGGACTCGGTGGTTCTGGGGTATCACGAAATCTCGAGGTTGGGGATGGTGATGTTGCTGGGGATTTTTCACTCGGTTCCTCTATCACAATCTTTGGATTCCCCTTATTATCCCACCTAAAATTCGATATTCCGATGAATTAAAATCAATTATTCCCTCCTAATTATATTTTTGGAGATAAATCCGTACCTTTTAATTACATTATTTCCCTGCAATCCATACAACTTTCGTCCCCACTCGTCCTGATCTCTCTCATCGATCCTAGGAGACGATGAATTCAATGACGATGTGATCCTCGGTGGTTTATTAGGGGCAACATTGCTCGGTACAGGTGGTGGTGTACTGGATTCCGTATTGACACGTGTGAATGAATTTTGGGAGTTATTAGAATTCGTGGAGAACGTTGGAGTGATAGCACTGGATACAGGTGCATTCAAAGACGACGCAGAACTCTTGTGTGATAAATCATCGAACTAAAAGTACAATAACCGTTAAGAAAATCCCTCATCATCCCATCTCGTTTCATCTGGATAATTAAATCTTACAGTAAACTCATCATCGTCCTCACTAATGACACCGGGATCAGCTTCACCTGGCTCTTGTCTCGAGGGCCTGATCTGGTGCTCCTCCACTTCATCAAATTCATCTTTATCCAATTTACTCTTGCTCTTACCCTTGACACGATTGCCAATGGACTTTGCTAATTTTTTCAAACCCTTGCGCTTCTCCAAGCTACCGATACTCAGTAAACTACCACCAATCGATTGAGCTGCTGTTGATAATTGCCCCAGTGAACTTTTGTGACGCTCTTTTCTCGTTAAATCTGTTAAACTACCAGCTTTTACGATAAATCCTATTTTAACCTCGAGTGTACCGCGATTCTTCGTATTCTCTTTTCCTGGTTTACACTCCAGGGTGTACCTGTTGACAATAACGTATAATAAAGCTTTGTGGGCGCGTTTGGATTATCCATCGAGTTATCCAGTCATTGTTAAGTCGTTAATTTCAGTACCACACCTATGGTTAATTGCTTGATCAGCTTGTGAGGTCTCAAGTCTTTTTCTTAATCCTCAATTTCAAGACAATAGCGAGACTTTATTTTTTCCAACGCGAAATTTCATTTTTTTTTTTTTTCAACCAGTGAAATGATAACATACCACCTATTTCTCGGCCTCTCGTAGACGTCAAAGCTAGCGAGTGGTACACTAATCATCCCCAAAAATTCATCAACCCCCAGGAAATTTCTGTGCAAAGCCGTGAGTACAATTTCAGCTTTATTCCCCTGTGAGGGGATTTGCAGTTCACATTCCTCATGCCATTCGACATTCTCAGACGCTTTTTCCTTGACAGACGTCTGATACTTCTCTTTACCAAGTGCAATCGTCACGAAACAGTCGTTTGTCTCTGGAAAATCGATACGAAAGGATCAAGACTCCAAATCAAATGATCGATAACTTTCCAGCTGAATTCAATTGAAACAGGTTGAGTGGATGGGTCAGTTAATCAAATAAATCAAATAAATGGTGTCACGAGTGAATTGTGCTTTTGCCCAGGTGTCAGCGAATATTTTGATAATCTCGAGACTCAGCGGAATCACGTAATGAATGCCCCAGAAATATGACGAGTTCATTTAATTTTAATCTCCATTATTCGCGCTGGGGCGATGATTCCAGTTGAAACTTGACTCCTATAACAGGACGGAATTATGTTACTCAATTTATTAAACAGGATGGAGAATTCAAACCCACGCATTGAACTTTCCCCACACCATTTTATTTCATCTTATTATCCACCTGTTTATCAACTCATTAAAATATTAATTATGACAAGATCTCAACACTTTAATCCTTCCTCTGGTAAAAATTCATTAATTCAGCCGGAAAGTGACGAAAAATTCAATTCAATCAACTCACGATGCTTTCCCTTGGTCAACAATCCTTTCGCTCTCTGGACTGTAAAAAAAATGACGGATTAATTCCACTATTCAATGCACTAATGCATGGAATTATCGAGTGCACGGGACCGAGTGCCGATAATTATTTAATTATAGGGAGTCACGACAATCGAGACATCCTGTCTCCATCGGATCATAAATATTTTATTCCACCTTTAGAATTTATAGAAATAACGGGTGAAAATTCTGAAAATCAATAAAATCGGTAATCATTTGGATGATTGTGCCACTGAAAATGACAGACTATCGTTGGGCGACACCACAGGAAATCATTCGTTCCCGACTGCCAGTCCTCGGATGGAAATTTTATTCCCTTCATATCTCCTCGAGATGTATTATTTTTTTTCCAAGGGGAAAGGCCGTTGTACGTGACTTCGACGTTGATGCACTCGTTGAATGCCTCTCTGGTATTTCGCTCGCACCCAAGATTTTTCCATTCCCGTTTCACATCCCCACTATTTTTCCCCCATTCATTTTCATCCTTACATTATTCTTCGACACGCGTATACCGAGGCCGATTCAATGATAATTTCTCGGGGAATAAATACCACATGTAAATTGAAACAGTCTGAGAATATTCACTCCAGGAACGAATTCATCCTCAGCCTGACGTATGCAGAGGAGGTCGCTTCCTATTTTTTTTTTTCATATGTTAAACCCTACGTGAGGAGTGAGAAAAAATTTCAGTCTCTATTTTACAGCAATAGATATTTTTCTTAATTCATCGAGTTTTTCTTTCTTTTTGAATTCTCAATGCGGTGACTTAAAACGCGTAACGATATCCCTCCCACAAAATCATCCAATTTTTTTTTTCTCCACAAAGAAGAAAACGTTCGCGTTACAAAGGGGAAATCGTCGATCTGGTTTCCCCGGTATTTTCACTTGCACGAGAGATTTATTAAATTCTCCATGATCCGACCAACCGGACACGCATTGACGTGAAAGGTCCTCGATACCTCAACAAAATCCAATAAAATACTCATCCCAACAGTTTGTCGCACGTAACAGGTTAGCTGTTACGCGGTAATCCAACAAAGAGACAATAACAGGGAGTTGGCACATCGTGATTTTCTAAATACAGAAGACCTGACAAATTGAGAGACAATGTAGAATGACTGAGGACAATTTAATTCGAGTACGTGGGATGGAAAAAAAAAACAGATTATCGTACCCACATGTTGGCGTTTGCTTACGGTACATTGACTCAGCTGACCTACCTACCCACTTTATTAATCCCCCAATAATCGATCACCCCTGAAAATTCAATTATCAATTTCAAGGTTGCACTCCAAGTGATCATGACTCACCCAATCAGCGATCACCCAAAAATCCAGAGACTAAACTAAAATGAAAAAATGATCTTTCAGTTAACAATCAGGTGATTACAGTTTACCTGTTACTTGGACATGCGTTGGACTCCACATTTTTTTCTTCGCAGTTGATTATTCCATCGGTGAGTAAACGGTGAAGAATTTTTTTTCTATCCTTTGGTGTCGAACACTTTACTATCGATCATTTGCACTAGATTCCACGCCTCGTGCACAGGTGTTTGTTAATTACAGATTGATGCATGACGAGTTGATGATTTTTATTATTTTACTCTTTGTTTATTTTTTTTTGGAGTAGTTATTTTGGAAATTATGGGGGAATGACAGTTTATGATGCGACACCTGGTGGAACCGCGAAGCTCCGTGGATCACGGACAACTATTTCTTCTGGTCATGACATGTATCGTCTTTCTAACATTACCTTGTGGATTTGTTCGTTCGTGTTGGCTCGGCTGACACCTCCCAGGCGCACCTCAGTCTGCGCAGCCACTTCCAGTTCATCATCAGGGACGAACTTTGAAATTCACAAGCCCAGGATTACCTGGCTCATTGAAAAAAAAAATACAACACCTGCAGTGGGGAAAAGTATTATTTTTTCCAATGAGACATTCCTGAAGTATTTTTCACGCTTTCCCACGAGAAAATCATTTTTTTTTAATGAGATCACTCCACATCACTCCACATCACTCCAACTTTTATTTCCAGCACGACAATTATGATAAACTGAGAGATTATTATTCACAATTGGCCTTGACAGTCGGAATAATTGAAAATTAATTGAACTGTCGATTTGAATATTTGAAAAATAATAATTTTCATTTTTGAACGATTGAAAGGAAAATTTCATGAGGTTCAGGTATTTAATGAAAAATTGGATGCGTAATCCTGTAATCTTTCCGTTATTTTTCACACCATAATTTCTGAAAAGGAATTATCGTGCGATAAGACGACACAATTGATTTAATCGTGGCAGTCGATAAGGACTGGACGTCCTCAAACCGGTTAAAACGATTTAATAATTAACCGAGAACGCAAGGTCGTGAATTCCTCAGGATAATTCGTCTCAAATTCACTTGAGTGAATTTATGACGTCAGCACTAATTATCATCTCTAATTAAATAGTATATTCTTATTTCAACCAAAGATTGATATCGATTTATCGCAACTTTCGAGTTGACTGTCTGAGTTGAAATGTCAACTGGAAAATTGGCAGAATAAAATAATAAATAATAATAAACAAATACGACGTGATCCCGTACCGATGGATAAATCGGTAAAGATCATTCAAAAGTTTGAAACCGCAGCCGCAGAAGAGCGCCACAATCGTCCAATGAAAATCCACCGATTTCCCCCACTAGATGTACCAAAATCTGTAATACGAGTTGGCTTGAGCACTCACCTTCGACGATTTTTCCGTCTTTGTCGCAAGTCGGCGACAGCTCCTCGGATGGATTGCCACAACTCCGGATAATCCCAAAATAATCCACGAATAATCACCGAATTAACCATTAAAATCTACCGATCTAACAAGTGCCTCTAAAAATCACTGCGAAACCGATCTCCAGGGAATCAGAGCTCATCAAGATCAGCAAGTGCACGAGGGCAAAATCGTGGAATAAATATCCGAAGAGAATTTGGAATTTTGATAAATCCAGGTAATAATTTCAATCTGGTGATTGCGTGTGGTGATCAATTGATTGTAATTAGTCGTTTGAGTATTTAGGATTAAGCAATATGTCGTTGAAAGATGATAAAGTGCCGTGCGCTCGTTTATGCCACATCGTGAAATGGGATGATTTTGATGGATATGGATTCAATCTTCATGCTGAACGTGGAAAAAATGGACAATTCATCGGTAAAGTTGATGATGGATCACCGAGTCAAGCCGCTGGTCTACGACAGGGTGATCGAATAATCGAAGTCAATGAGATCAATATCGCTAATGAGACCCACAAACAAGTGGTCGATCGCATCAAGGCATTTCCAAATGAAACAAAATTGTTGGTTGTCGATCAGGAGGCGGATGATTACTACAAGGCCAACAACGTCATCATCAGGGGAACAATGACGTGTATCAAGGTGATCAAGACACCAGAGAGAAATCCGGCAACTGAGAATGAGGAAAAAGCCGATGGCAGCATTAGCTCAATCGATGAGGTAAGAAAATTTCTCCGTAATTATTTAATTGCTCGATAATTCTCCACTCGTGTGCTCTACCATTTCTTTTATTTTATTCTTTTTCGTTTCAAAAGGAAACTTTCCACGCGGGTAATTAATCACTCGGTGCTCAGTCGACTGCGTCATGCCGGGGACGATTTTAATGAATTTTTTTATCCCATCGAGGGGTAATTAGCAAATTCAGCAATTCCGTGATTCACGACTAATTATTAGGATGTGTTAATCAATTATTGAATTATTTGTCAGACAAATAAAATATTCGAATTTTTAGGGACGAGTTTGTGATGAATATTGAACTTATAATTTTTTGATTAGTCGATGCAGTTATCAGTGAATAAAAACCTCCAGTACAGCGTACGTTAAAACCGTCCACTTCTCCAGAATTTAGTGCTCCCACTTGTTGTAGGTAATTGCAATATGATTTGTAGTGCAACATCGTCAAGGTCGACTGGAAAATCCTTCATATTTCAAGCACACAATCACATTGTTTCCTTTTTATTCTCAAGATAGCCTCACCATCACGTTTTTAACCACTGGTTTTATGACCACTGTCAATGACTAATGATCATTCACACAATTTCAGTCTAATCGTATTGTACAAGTGCAAAGCAAAGTGCAAACCCTCATTGCACGTGGGATTAATTCGAAATGTTTCATTAGCTACACGACACAATGACTAGTGAATCCCCAGTAGAAAATACTTTCTATTACATGAACTCTCAAGACAATTCAATCGTTGGATAATGATGACGCATAGTAATAAAGACATCTGTGTTTGAACATTAACTTGCAAATTCAATACGATTCTCACAATGGGAACGATAAAATTGATGAATTGATGTCCTCGTTTTCCCCAATACGTGAGTAATACCTTTTTTTTTCATATGTGTAGGATATATTTATTATCATTTTACCGTCTGTATGTGACTTGTACAACAGTTTTGTCTCTGGGTCTTATCGCGCTCGGAGCGATTGTTACAATCTTCCACCTCGGGATTTCTCGGCTTTTCCACGCTGCGAATTTACCCAGCTTGTCGCCAATATACATATATTTTTTTTGTTTACCTCACGCCTTTTTCTTTCGACCCAGTACACGTACGGGAATGTTGGTTTGTCAGAGGGGGAAATCGGTGGGTTTTGCCCGGAAGAGAATTTGCCATCGACTTACGAATGGGTATAAACAGTCAATTCATTTTCCAGTTCTAACAACATCGATAACACCATCGATATTATCTTATCTAATCCAGTCTACATGCCACTAGCACGCCTGATTTTCAGGGAGAAATTCGGAAAATTCACTTTTCGCGATAAAAAAAAATTGATAATGGGTATCACAATAGTGTTTTCATATGCAACAATAATATCAACCGGAAGTTGAGCCGGAAATCTCTTATCAGTCATTCTCCCATCCCCGAAAAACATCCGGCTTAAAATTTACTGATGTCTCGACGTAACGCAGTCGTTAATTTTCACACGAGTTGCATAATATTTTCCCACACCAGAGTTTTTCCAATTTTCGCCAATCTTCCTTATCCCGACGCAGACAACAATCTTAATGGGAAGGTTTCACGTAATTCCCAGGTGGTCATTAAAAACAAATTATTCATGAAAATCTATTTGAACGGGTAAAAAGGAAAATCCTCGGTGGATATCACTTGACGGAGTATCCACCTTGAAATACGTCATTATGTAATTCCCTTTTGTGAATTGCGGTCATAAAATCACGTGGGGATAGAGAAAAAAAAAATCACCCGGGAGCATATGAGCGAATCACTCTTGCGTTTCTGTCCGATTATGATTAATAATAATTGTACCACCGTTCACTGGCCACTGAAAACCCGAGATCAGTGTTTCCTGTTCTCCAGGTAATAATTCTCAGGAATTACCCCCGGGGTTGACGATATTTACCAGTTGGTGTAATAAATAAATTGTTAGTACTATTGAAATTGGAATGATAGGCAAAAATTATTTAGGAATAATCAGGGATTTCCTTGGAGAAATATTTTTTTTTTCTCGTACGCGCGATCAATAGGTCAATTGAAAAGAAAGCCGATAAGACACGATTCCACGTGTTGAATAACTTCGAGTTCTCTGGGAGTTTTAAACCGGTTTTGGGGTCGTTTTTCCTGTCACTTCGTTTCACTGCGTTACGCTTGAGTTATTTGAATCTTTAACTGCTCAACGATCAAATTAAACACTGGGATAGTTAGTGGTGATATCACCATTCTCGATTTTTCCTCTTGATTGTTTTTTCTCCCAGCTCTGACAAAAAAATTGAGAATCAGGTGTGATAATGTGTGATAAAACCATTGATGCACTTGGAAAATAATTTCTTTACGCAAGTAAAATTTTTATTCTTCTAAATATAATAGTAACAAAAATTCTTGTCAATTAATTAATATAAAATTTGGATATTGCCGTGGAAAGTAAGGGAAGTTGAAAATTATTGTACGAATTGACCATTTTCCAACAGCTGCAGCTTTTCTCACATGCAATACCCCGACATCATCTGATATCATTGTCTACAATTACTCGGACCACGGGTCTATCACCGGTCATTCACTAATTGAACTGGACAGTGATCCCTGACACATCCTATTAATTCAGTCTGGCAATAAACCACATCGCCTTATTTATTTTCTCACTTTTTCCTACCTTTTCGCACGAGATCGCGAGTGAGATGGAAAACAGGTCAATGAGTTGTCAGCGCGACGTGATAAAAGAGACCAGAAATAAAGGAATAAGCAAATAATTTTGCATTTTCCAGGCACGATCGGCCTTGGTACGCGACACGCATCTCTTTTCCCTCGTTTTTCCTCTCTACATCTAGGTCAAAATCGAAAAAAAAAAAAAACCTTTCGAGTATTTCAAAATGTCATTATCCCAGGGAATTCCATAGGTCAATCAGGGCCTCATTATGGCCCTGGCCCATTAAAAATTTTTCTTTGTAATATTTCATTATGATTTGGAATTTTGAAAAAATCACTCTCTCCAGTTGAATTTTCATTCGATTTTTTGCTGTTCCTTTCCGAATGTTTGATATTTCAGAATATGCAGAAGTCAATTGGTTCGAATGATACCTCCAATAGTGGCAGTACAGTACCAACGACAGCATCGATGAACGACGAGAATTCGCGACCCCACGAAAATACCCAGGAAAATGGCCGCAAAAGCTCCGAAGACGACGAAGTTGCCCCAGGAGTTGAACACATCGACGATATCTCAATGACGGGCAACGGTACAGTACCAGCGACGAAAAAGGGCCTGAATCTTAAAATGAGTGCTAAAGAATTGCGCGCCAAATTGGCGGCCCGCAAAAAATACGATCCCAAGAAAGAATCAATTGGCTTCAAAGATAAATTCGATATTGTTCAAAAGCTGTAAACTCCACGAATTCCTCGACGAATTACCACTCGTTATCACGAATACTGTTGAAATGTTGATTTTGCCTTATCACTTCGTCTTCGTCATTACGATTTACAGCTCAAGAGACAAGCATTCCAATTTTTTTTTCATTCTTCCCGAAAAAGAAGACAATTCTGTTGCAAAGTGGTCATATTGAAAAAAACACCTCGAATTATCAATTATCACATTACTTACCACATTATTTTGTTAAATTCCGTTGTGGTTTCTTTTGTAGGAGCAATTTATTAGTTCTCATTACCCCGAGTGGCAAAATAAATTAATGGAAATAATGGAAATAGTGGAAAAAATAAAAGAAATGACTCAGCATTGCGCAATGATGTAATTACTAGAGTCAGTACAAGTCTGTACACGATATTATTCGCGCCTGATGATTTCTCGTCATTTATCATCGATAATTTGTCAGTGAAAAAATTCAATTATCGTGTTTGATGTATCATGGTAATTAAGAAAATGTTATCGCAGAGGTGGAGGTCATGTTCGTCGTGTGGATTTCTCGGGGACTCGATACCGTTAACTAGCTCCAATTTCCCTGTGTACTCACACTCTTGTGGTCGTTACAATTGTCCTCTTGTCAATGGAGAAATCGATACGATTCGAGCACTCGTAATATTTTTTTTTTTATCTAATTCAATGATTCCACAGTATTTTCCTTCCTGATTCGAGGGACAATTTGTGATTCAGATCTAATTGAGAGATTATGATGCTGGAGGCAGCGCAGATCTTTAATTATGCAAAGAGTGCGTTTTATTTTTAGACTCATTAAGCTGTGAGATTTATTATCGATCGATTAATTCGGCTTTTTTTAAAAATCAAGTGGAAAAATTCAGGAAGTGTCTGTTTTTTTTTTAATTTCGGTGCAATCAACAGCAGGAATTTGTATATTCTCAAGTTAAACAGTTGTATAATTATGTTTAAGTAAGACCTAATTAATCACTGCAATCCCTTCTATTGTAAATATCAGCGGACATTGCAATTGAGAGGACCAATTATTTTGATCAACCTGGAATTCACTAGTCAAGAGATAATTGAATCATTCGAATTATTTTCTTATCGATGTATCTCGAACCCTATCGATTCTCAGCGGAAATGTGAAGAGACATTTTTTCTTGAAAATTGCATTGGCAATAAAAAAGTTCTTTGGTGTTTTCATTGAAAATTTTTGGTTGTCGAGATAAAGCAATTGGAATGATGATAATTTTCGAAATACACAACATATCACTCGGTTAATGAATTCTATTATTTTTGGTTTTTTTTTCAACGCATAATTGGAATGGTCGATTGAGTGGATCAATCATTGGTGATAGATTTTCACCAATGGCCTAGGATGTATATAGATTTTTAGAGCGTTATGTATAAGAATACCGAAGCCAATTACACACGTTGTTACATGAATCACACACTTCCAACGTTATTACATAAGTTTAGATGAGTTATTATTAAGAATATTTGTTTGGCGCATTCCACAGCGTATGTATGAGTATTGTTTTTTTTGTGTACTTGTAAATACATACGATGTTGAAAAGTTTGAATTTTATGTGTTTTTTTATTTTACGCTGGTTCCCCTTTGACTGGGAAAATTGAACAACTTTTTCTCGAAATTATCACTGACAGAATCAGCGAAAATGAAATACTATTGTTTTATTGATAGTAGGTAATGCAGGCTTCTCCATCGTTCATCACCGAAACCTACTGTACTGCAGACGAGTGAAGAGGAAAATTCCAGACAATTCCGGAAAGTAATGAATTTTTTTCATTAGGGCTGAATGGATATCTTCCGTCGTGAAAATTCACTCGTGAATTTTGAGGAAAACTCGTGAGTTCTGAGTAGGGCAAACATTTCAGTGAATACCTCCTCGATTTTCATAAATCTCTGATATTTTTTTGAAAATTTCGAATTTTTCAATGTCAGTGAATATCTCCTCGATTTTTTCGGGAATTTCGG